AAACATCATCGTGATGAGCAAATCATCTCACACACGGAAAACACCAAAACGATACTTGCCGAGCCAATGGCCAGTATCAGCTCGCAAACACAATTTTCGATAGTGTTTAAAGTCGACAAATCAACTAACGCCTATACCAAAGTTGGAGAGAGGATACACATGCTCAACTACGCGTGTTGATGAAGGGATAAAAAACCTTATCGATTCTCATACACCTCTACCCCAAGTCTTATGTGAATTTCTTCATAATATGGCTTTGGAAACTACTGAGCTTGGCTGAGAAAACCAAACATATATACTTCAACATTGATCGAAACAGCGAGCACAACTACGTCTGCCTACCTCCCAACTTCGCTTGAGTCGTATCCCAACCATTGACGAGCCACTTCCCTATACTCATCATTGCGAACAGGAGCACCTGCGATTCCACTGATGGAAGCGCAAAACGATTCTCGAGCATTTGGTAGATATTATCAGCACTCATGTGAATTTCCCAACTAACTCGTCCGTTGATTTGATTTGTTTGAACCAAATAAACAAACGGTGACACCTTCCAGAGAACGATTATTTCCCAACTCTCCCGGAATTCCAATGTGAAATTGAGACGAACAATGGTGATGCAAAAGCCGCTAGCCCATCCACTACCAATACGCAGGCTCCACCTCTGATAACTCCGATTCGATTGAGATAGTGTTGGAGTTCATACGGGAGAAGCCGTCCAGTAAATCGCAAAACCATGCTGATACTGGCTGAGTTCAACTCGAGTTCAAAAATGATCATTGTGGAAAACCACGCACATGTTCAATCACATGCGTCGAGGATGAGGATATGAAAACTCTAAGAAAATCTAGAAGAAATTTCAATTGGTTTTCGGACACTTCTACCCGAACTGGAGCGTAAACTTAAATAATTGGTAAAAAAACTCCTTATAGTTCAGCTGTATATGGTTGAACCATATATTTCAACACTGACCAACCCAACGCTTCATATCCACAGTGTAACTATCGCTCATGCAAGGACTAGTAAATACTAGCCAAGTGTAATACTACACCTGCGCAGTTGCATTAATTCAAATGAACGGCATATCAGCCGAATTCACAGAATTCACAGAAATTTTTGCGATCGCAGATTCCGCCCGGATCAATACCAACAGTCAACTTTAAAAGCTGCATTTTCGCTACTAAAATATTCATCATAATTCCGATACCACTCCTTCCCGACTTAATCACCCCACTAAGACGTTTCCCTGTCGGCTTCTCAGCGCCGCGCCCACGAGTACTTTCGGAACATCCGGCGCTTTCCAATGCCTTGCAGCTCTCAAAGATGCCACTCGCCGGAATCGAACTTGTCTCCAAAAAATCCTCCCACCAAACGGAGACAGCCTTTCATGTATGTACATTTTCTCCCCAATTACACGGAAACTGTTGATACCTATCTCAAGATCGATCACGTAAGTCACGCAATTCACATCCAAATCGAACAGAACAATGCACAGCGTTTCCGCGCCCATCCCGATTCCAATGAGTAAAATTGAATCACAAATTTCAATATCTTTTCGAGCATTTCTCACCCATTCCGCGCTGACAAGCCTTCTCCTCACCCACATATCACCAGACAGATTCGCGCTCGCCATTTCGATCGATTTCAGCTCCTCCCCAGCCGTCCAAACAACATGTAGTTTATCCCCTCTCTCGAAAGCCGTCCATACACCAAGACCTTCCTCCAAACTCAGCGTCAGCGGCGGGCGAGCGACGTGGCCCCCGGGCCGATTCAACGAGATTATCGTTATCAACCCGCCCGATTCAGCGCCGCCCCCACAAAGAACATGCCCTGCGGCAATTCTAACTTGCCTATGGAAAACGTTAAGCCCATCATGTAGGAGTTCAAACCCTCGAGGACTTCCCTTTTTCCATCGCATTAAACCAATTCGGTCAATACCGTAAAAATCACCAGTCAGCGGACACACTGTAGTGCCGAACTCGGGAGCTTCCACTTCCACTCCTCCACTCACAACAGGAGACAATCCGAACGGTTCCATTCGGGCTTCATGTAGGGTCGTGCTGCTCATCAACATAACCAGCAGGCGACTCTCGTGATCCGGCGGAAAGATGGTATCACAAATTGGCTCCACGAAGAAGTCAGTAACTGGTTCGAAGAATCTGCTGTACGCAAACACTTCACGTTCTTTTCCATCGACTTCTCCAGAAGCGCAAAAGTCAACCCCTCTGGCATACACCCAGATTTTGCTCAACAACTCCAACGGTAAATCAGCTACTCCCGAGTGAGCACTCAGAGTCTTCAAAGCCAACAAGCCGTAACCCGTCTCTTTCCGATGACGGGAAGACATAAAAAACTCGCAAAACTGACCTATTCCGTATCCTGTGAGCTCAGATGAGATGGAAGCGCTCCTCCTGATGAGCTCAGATCCTGATGAGCCTAAAGATTCACCCATGTCTCCGAAAAACTACCTACGACTACCAAACGACCTACTTTGTATCTTGCGCGCTAAACCCCAAGATTCCTCATACCCATTTCCAACACAAAGCTCAAGAAGTGATATCTACTGCCAATAGAAACAACGCTAAGAAATCTGTACTGACTTTCCCCAAATGAAATTTATTAAATGAAAACGACGTGTGCCAATTACGACAGGCAACACTACAAATCTAAAAGCCCCGGGTTCTATTCCCCCCACGGGCATTTCTCTTCTCATTTACTTATAGAGCCTGCGCGCCTTAAAGACGATATAGGTCTCCGACCAAGAGCCGCCGACGACAGCGCTTTGCTCGAATGCAAACTTGACCAGTTAGGGCCGCGATATAGCGCAGGGTTAGCCGAGAGAGGCACACACCGCGGTAACACAGAGGAGAAGCCTTGATGAGAAGCTGACGTCAAGTAACTGAAGCCGCCAGGAATCGAACCAACGGCCTCCCGCATGACAACCAACAAGACTAACCTGTCGATCACAGCAGCGACATCCCTTCCCTCAGCCAAAGCTGTCACTATTAGGCTCGCTCCCCTCCTGCAGTCCCCAGCGGCAAACACGGGAGCTTCCGTGCCAATTCCACTCAGACTCGCACTGTTCACTATGTAACTGACCAACAACATCAGTGATGTTGTTGAGTGATGTTACATCACTCACGATTCACATAATCGATCAACTGGGCGCGCGCTAAACCCCAACCCCACCTTCCGTATTCAGCATCGAAGCAACCTTCTTTGCGTGGAAGAGCTCCTTGGTCGACCACCTGGTCAGGTCCGGTGAACCCCATCGCTAGCAGAGCCAGGTCGCAGGGATAAGTGTGTTCCGAACCTGAGGAGGAATAAAAGTACATGAAAGAATCGCGATGAAAGTACATGCCAATTTGATATGCAAATGTGTGTAGGACAAATGATAGTGAACAAGTTGTCGCTATCATCACAGTCCCAAACGGGTACTCTCATCATCACAACACATGTTCATAGCCATCGTTACATTGTATATGCGATATATCGATTATCATCAACCTCGGAAAATAACACCCATTCGTTATCAAGTTCACACGTACTGTCACAAATCAGTCACGAGGAGTCTGCGAGAGATACGAGCGAAAGTGTACATAGAAAATAACTACATCAACTGATTCCCCCGCGAACACCATTCCAATGCTGACGGAAACATTCATGGAAAAAGTTAATTCCCATCGAAATCCATATAAGTCATTTATCAGCAAAATGTACATCCTAATACACTCTCCAGTGTTCTGGTAATAGCATTTCTAGTCAATAGCATTCCATTGTGGAATGCTATTGACTAGAAATGCTATTCTCTTAATTTTGCGCT